TATTGAAAGAGTAAATCAGACGACGATTTGTCTTTCAAAACCGTAAAACTGACTGTCATTTTAGGCATAAATGTTAGTTTATTCTAGGATTTTTGTTGGAGCCAGTGCAGGAGGTCTACCTCATCATAGGAAGTTGGCATCCTGCAGCACAATATATGTTCTCTGTCTCTAATTATTAATGGCATCCAGCACAACGATGGACCCACGTGGCATCCAGCACAACATGTTTTCTGTCTCTTAAGTTAGCAAATGGAAAATGGTGGAAAATGTCCACCATCGTTGCCAGAAAATTTTCAACAAAATATCTGCGCAGGAAAACATCCAGCAGGAAATTCTTGTTATCTTATATATTGACAGATATATTAATCAACTAGTTTTCTAGTGTGCAAGCAAGCAAGCTGACTCAGACTGGTTATTAGATCGAATTAGATAACGCATTACTCCATCTGATAGTATACTAACATACTATAAGTAACACTTTCTCAACTGTTGCTTTATCAGTGTACTAAAGATAAATCAACAGTCTCCTCATTGATCTGAACACCAAATGATTCACTTTTTAGTTCATCTTAATAAAGCATTTCAACTTGCAAGGCAAGGCACACTATCAATCGCCCTTTCAGGAACAAATTAAGGGGAGTGAAAGCTCACGACTGACGAGAGTGATCACAAACCTCAACATGTCAGGTCTGGAGTCTATTTACAGTTTCATTGTGGAATCATTTGGAGATTTATAGCATTATGGTCATTGAGGCATGCAACCCCATAAAAATCTGCACCCTCTTTTACCTGGATCATAGCTGATAACAACAAAATTAACAGATGGGTTGCAGATGAGTTATAATAGTCATGTTGTAATTGACAATTGATGTTGGTCAATTTTTGAATTCTTATCCACTTTGTCCTTACCACCTAAAGAATTAGCAGTCAACTCAACTGTGTTCTTCTCAGCATTCTTGTAATTTCTTTCAATAGCTTCAATTGCTCGTTTCTAGAAAACCCAACTGCAGTATTGGCATATATGTACTGTTAGTGCATAGCTATGTATGCATGCCTAATTCATATGGCTACTGGGAAAACTGTACGTAGGGTACATTGTAGGGTACATTGGGGAGCAAAATGAATTCATCAATGAACTTACTCGTTCATCCAGCACGACTTTGATCATGGCCATAGATTTTTTGACCTTATGGAATCTCTGAGGTGAAGGCATTACCACTTCTTGTCTTCTTGCTTCTGCCTGTACTGTTAATAACATGTTTCTTTCTTTTAATAAAACATACCTTAATGGAGAATAACAATTAACAAAGATGAAGTTCCTTCCATTTGCAAGAGAGATTGAATAATTTCAAAACTGATTTTCTTTATCATCCACTTCATGGATAAGATATTTCTCTTCCTGGAGCAAGCCCTGATAAAATATTTCTCTTCCTGGAGCAGGCTTCCCAGATCAAAAATTTCCTGCCAATTGTTTTTATAAATATGAATTTTGGTTGTAATTCAATAACAGCGTCATACATACTACCTTACTAAGTCATATACTACCTCAATATTAAGAAAAATATAGGTTTACTAGAATTAGGAACATATGAAGGAATTCTATGAAACAATATTTGAATTTTGTTTGAATTTATATCAGTATTCATGCACTATTCAATAATAGTAGTATGCCTTTGTTTTCCATATCATGAATCATGATAACAGACAGTCATAGCACTGCCACATGATACAAATTTTTATGTTATGATTGTTGTATTTATACTCTAATTGTGATGTTTGTTAGTTTAATGCTGATTTTTGAAATTTCTCGAGCTTCATTCTTGATATCTTGCTTTTCCTTAAAAAATTCCTGTGAGATTAAAAAAAATTCCTGGCAGCATGCTGCCATGCTGGCAGACTTACTCATGCCTTGATGGACTTGTTTGGGAATTACTTTAACTGGGCCCCATACCCAATCTCATACCATTTAATATCCAGTTTTCACAGAAAAGTCAGTTTTATCCCAATTACTTAACAATCACAGATTTTGAGCTATTTCAGCCCTCTGGAGGAACAGGTCCACAAAGGAAAATTAATATTTGGTCACTCAGTAAACCCTCACCAAAGTTTATGTAAGTCTTCATTACTCTTCTGTCTTAATTCAGCTGCTCTCCAGCTTCTACCTGGCATTAATGGAAACAGAATAGTTAACAGACTTGCCATATTTCATTCCCAAAATGATGTCAGTACAGTAGCATTCATCTCACTAATACTATCCATGTGCAGATTTTTTCCAAAAATGGACCTCATATTTGAAATCTTCATGCTAGTCTATTTGAGCATACTGGTATCAAGATTTCAATTCTGGGGTGAATTTCTGCCATGAAATATGAAGGTAAAAAATGGATAATGTGAACTTGGATTGGAAAATGGTCACATGGAATCCAGACTGGAATGCAAAGTGTCTATATGCTGGACTTGTCCAGTGTACAAACACAAACTTTGGCATACATTTGTTTACATAGACCCAGTGTGGAAAGTTTGTATCACGCGGCGGATATCTCTGGTGCGCAATTTTGATGCTTTCTATATAATTACTAATAAATTTTTTAAATCTCCGGTGCGCAATTTCCAAACTTTCCAGTCAGGACATAGACTAGTAATTGTACAAAGTTCACAAATTTGTACAACGTTCACAAATTTGGACCAAATAGGTTTATACTAAAAAGGTGTATTTGGAACTTTTGCGCATTGATATCTCCAAAATTGGCATACATTTACATGAATCCGATATCCAGCGTGCAAAAAGTTAACTTTCCAGAACCGGCATGAAAATCACCCAGGTTGTTCCAAAAGTAGTTTTTTTTTATATTTTACTGATTTAAGTACCTGATTTCACTTCTTCAGGCAATGGTTGTTGAGTTTCTAACACTCCAGGAGGAAAAAATTCCTCAATACTAAACCCAGTTCTGGTTGTATGTATCCATTTCACACGTGGTCTTCTATGCCCCACTCCTGGCGTCAATAAATTGTAAAATGGCCTATGCAAATGAATGTATCTTTTACATCCAAAAGGATTTAGCATGAAACTAGTAGATAGCGGATATTTTAAACTTGTTTTCGATGTGAATAAATTTGTAGAAGCAATCCAAAATCTTGAAAAGTTACAGCAAGATTTTTGAAAAAAGTTCGCCATCTTTGTTTCAGTCGGAACACTGATCTCACGACAATTGACGCCAGAAGAAACTGGACTGTTATGAAACGTGCAAAAAACACTTGAAAACTCAAATACAAGCCTTCATAATAGCAACATGGGTTACAGTACACTGGTTTAATATTTAATATAGACATACGAATATACTGCCAGCTTGCAGGCTAATAGGAGTAATGAGTCATCATGTCTCGCTGTTTATGGCTTTGTAACCCTGTCTGCTAACCCAAATAGCCATAAACATGCGGCCCTCTCAAAATCCAAGTACAAAATCATTGAAGTAATGCTATGAACATTAGATGGGTTTATTTTACAACATTTTCATTTTAAAAAATAAAGTAGACATTCCACTGTTTGGCCATAAACGTCTTTGGCAAATTTGTGAGTACTATCAGTTGAACCAGAACCAACAATCCTTTGCTTAGTCAGAACCAACAATCCTTTGCTTGCTAGACACCATATTTACTTCCAATTTCCTTACAGGAAAAGCTAATCAACATACAGACCTTTCATCAAAAGTCACGTTTATGTTGCTCAATATTGAAAACTTCGATGAGTTTGAATATCATCCAACAGTTGCTGCAAGTCATCATCCTCAAATCTCCCCTCAAGACTGAAAAAAAAAAAAATTACTAAAACACTCTCAACTACATATATTTCAATGAAAATTGTAGTATAAATATTCTATAAAATTATCATAAGCACAGGTTAATGCATGATTCCTTAAAAGCGAGAGTATTTTTTCCTAACTGTTGTTAGACTCGAAAAAGTTAGAGCTGTGCACCGGAGCCCGGCCGGAAAACTCCGGCAGACAAAATTATGAAAAATTATTTCATATTTCAATGAACGTTTGGTAATGTCACATAAATTGTAAGTCGTTGATTAGTGTAATTTGTTGTGCTTGTTTGCTGATCTTCACATCTGTCTGTCTGTCTGTCTGTTTGTCGGTCTGCAAGCATGTTATTGTTCATACTGTGTATTTTGAATGTCTTGGAACCCCGTTATTGGAGAACTAATCTCTGTGTGGTAATTCCAGCCATGTAATCTATTGTGTGTAATAGTTTGTGTTAACTAATTTTGTGTAATAGTTTGTGTTAAATGGCAAAATCTGTAAAATAAAATAAAATAAAATAATGGAAAAATTAAGTTGAATGATTCGAAGTTACTAGAAAGTTTAATTACTTGCTCCGATCCGATCCGTGGTTTGGAAAATTCTGTAAGCGCATTGCTATCACTTTTGATACAAAAATCTGCTTACCCCAATGTATTTTGGGCGAAAAATTATACCACACTGCCATGTGGTTTTACTTTCTACAAAACATTGTTTAAACAAGCACCGAAGCATGTATATTTGATAAGTAAGGGAGAAAGCTCAAAAAGGAATAAAATAAATTCTGAAAATACACTGAAATACTTTTGCCTGCTTCTACTTTTAAAAATTTCCTTACAATTTCCTTGCCGGAGTTTTGACTGCTGGAGCTAAAATAACCGGAGTTTGCACAGCTCTAGAAACCCAAAAAGTCCCAGGTATCATTTACATAACATGCACCCTAGTTTCCCGATGAAGGGCCAGCCTTCACTCAAAACGTCAAAGTTCTCCTTGTCATTTTTCATTTAGTTGTATCAAAAATAAAAATAAAATCAATCTGAAGCTTTCTTATTATTGCCACTATCTACCCTGGCACAGACTGTTAAGATGGATTGCATCAAACCTTGGTATAAGAGATTTTGCTTCTTCTGCTGTTTCAGGACAGAGGTTTGCAAGGCATGCCAGTTCAAATTTATGAAGCTTCTTTTTTCCTAGTAAACTGGAAATGAAGAAATTTAAGAAATGAAACACTTGTCTTGCTTTTTTCAAAAATATTTGGATAGTTTACAACTCATGAATAGCAAGTATTTTATCATGTGTTGTTGGTCATTCCAGAAAACATCCATACCTCTCCCACAGAGGAAATTGGAAGTTAACCCCCCTACTACAATCAGAAATAATTTCTACTGCCCCCTCTCCCTCTGGATGGCAGAAATTTCCTTGTTGGAGGCAAGGTGGATCTTTTCTGGAAAAACTCATTTCATGGCATGTTTTTGATTACATGTAACAGTACATAATGCTTAATTTTTGTATTTTAAATGAACTACCAACCTTCGTACACTGGCAATAGTTTCACGGTTTTTATATCGACTAAATTTCTGTGTGTGATCTAGTGTTTTCATAAAAACTTGTGAGAGTTCTTGTTCATCCTCTGGGCCGTCACTCTGACCTTTACGATGCTCCAACAACATAAACACTTCAGAGTTCAGAAGTGTCTCTGCATTTTCAAACTCTAAAGAATCATAAAATAGTATAATAATAATGCTCCAGCATGGAAAGTTTGTATAGTGCAACCAATATATTGAGCTACTTTCCATATATTTACAATTATAAAATCTTGTGTGCACAATTTCTAAAATTGTTAAGAAATTTTGTTAGGAAAATTGTTTGTTAATTAAGTTAATTTTGTCTGGTGGAAGCCTTTGATTTGGAGAACAATGCATGGCCCACCTTCATTGTTCGGTTTGTTCAAGAAATTACGGAGTTTATCTTCATTATTGTCAACATTCGGCGGAAGAAAATTTCTCACCCAACACGCTGGCGGGAAATGTGGTGGGCAAAAATGATAGAATGCATAGTTAGTGGTTTCCAGTCAGGATCACAGTTGAAAGTAGGCAATGAGAACAATTGAGAGTTGCAACTATCGCATCCTTGTTTGTCTTGTCATTCTCGTAGCCGCAGCCTGCGATACGCGAGTAAAATCAAGTACTATTTAAGATATTATGAGTTGTTTAAAATTATGAGTTGTCTTATCTTGAGCGTCTTAGAAAACTTAATTTATTGCCTATATCTTACTGGCTTGAAATAAAGGATCTCATCTTTTTTTTCAAATGCAAACAAGGCCTCTACGACCTAGATATCTCCTCTTTTGTCACCTTTTCTTCTAATCGCTCATCTCGCACCTGTTCAAGTAAGGACAACTTGCTTCGAGGGGCATTTCACTCCAAAAAAGCGTACGGGATTTTCGGATTTTTTAGCGGATTTAGCGGATTTTTCCCGGATTTTTAGCGGATTTTTGAAGAGAAAATTTGCTGGATTTTCCGGATTTGTTCGGATTTTTTCTGGATTTTTGAAAATCTGTTGGATTTTCCGGATTTGTTTGGATTTTCTGGATTTGTTTGGATTTTTTCTGGATTTTTTTTAATCATAGAGTTATAGAGCTAGGTAACGTTTTGAACAAATAATCTTAAGTTGTACGATGTCAACGTTATGCCAAGACGTCAGGGTCGAGCAGAGGACTGGGACTATGACCACAGCCTTCTGAAACTAACGAAGGCTGGGCATGCAGTCATTTTGTTTAAAATTCAAACAAGTTCATTATTCTTTCAAAAACAGTAAAAGACAATGGTGAATAACTTTTGGTTTTGTAATTATATTTTACAACATAACGTCATTGTAACAAGAACACATATTTAGTAGTAATAGGCTAAAAAAACTTAGTGTATACTCGAGCGTATAAATGGAAATGTAGAGTGGTCCAATAATTATGAAATATAATGACAGCGATCACGGTAAGCGTTTAATAGCTTTCGCTGTCCGCCATTTTGAACGTGGCAAAGAACCTTTACGAGTAAATTACACCAAGTACTTCATATATTTTTTGTGGATTTGCGGATTTTTTAAGGATTTTGAAGGATTTCTGTGGATTTTTGAAGGATTTCTGTGGATTTTGATGGATTCAACGGATTTTGAGGATTTCATGGATTTTTTCTGGATTTTTTCCGGATTTTTTGACGAAGTGTACGGGATTTTTGGAGTGAATTGCCCCTCGACTTGCTTCAAGTCAATCCGTGCAAAACCTCTCTTCTTAGAAACTTTTTTTTAACCGAATTGTCTTTCTATGGAACAATCTCTCTCCAATCATTCGTAACAGTTTGTCTGTTTCATCCTTTAAGCTCCAGCTCCATTCTCACTACTCTTCTCAATTAGACTCTTCTTTCGATATTAACAGAATGCGCACTTGGAAAACCTTCTGCTCTAAATGCCGTTCTTTCAACTTAAGCTGTTGCTCATAATCTAAACTATTAATTTTTATATAGCTATGTAAATAGTTTATATTGTATCAGGTTGGTCTTCACATGGGACTCATGTCCTGTTGACCATACCTTCAATCATTTTTATAATTTTTGTATGATTGTAAAGTTAATAAATAAATATTAAGATAAAATGATAGTCTGATATAGACGGATTTTCAACATGACTTCACAGTATATTAATATCATTGAAAACCAATATAATATAATTGTATTTATTTTTTCTCTATAAACAATTCGCTCTCTATTGAATTCAATCAAACTCCTAAGATATACCTTTAGGAAATTGAAGTTCTGTAGCATCTTCTTCTCCGGTATTTTCTGTTGTCACAGTCGCCATGTTTGTTTCCTTCTCGTACCAGTCTCACGCGGTCACGCTGAACTGTGCATATAAACCTGGAGCAATATGGCTTTGTTTGAAAGGGTTTTAAAAATTTTAAGATTGGTGTATAGTTGTTCAGCTTGAGTCTCGCTGTTCTGAGTTGTACAGTAACGATAGTAACCATACCCTGGGCTATATAAATGGATCCATACCATATATACTGCGCCAGTGTAACAGCGGATATAGCCTGCGAACAGGCTCACTCTTCGCGCCGCCCGTAACCCAGGGCCTGTTCGCAGGCTACAGCGGATACTGCCCCCCACCCCCTCAAGTCTGTCTCCCAGGACAATGTGTTCCTTTTTGATGTTCTTAGCGTTCTTGGCAGAGTTCAATTTATATTTCCTCGCTTGCTTGATAAGGACCAGACTGGACCAAAATACATCAGGCTATCGATTATTTTATTATAAAATTTTTACAATTCATATTTTCTATTCCACACATTGATGCGACCAAAGTGAATGCTATTCAACGATGTTCACTGTCCAATCGCATGCATCTCTCGAACTACTCGTGTCATGGCCTACACGCGTAAAATTTCACAACTTGTCAACAAGATGTGTTCACAACAGGCTTGTAGTAAGCTTATCAACAAGTTGTGACAATCTATTTTATCAAGTTGCTACAAGGTTGTCACTCGCAACTTGTTGACAAATTGTTGAATTGCAGGATGATAACAAGTTGTTGGAACAACTTGTAACAAGTCTGTTGAGCTCAACAACCTTGTAGCAACTTGTCAACAAGCTGGAAACAACACATCCTGTTGACAAGTTGTTGGAACAACATTGCTACAAGTTTGCTGCAGTTTGTTACAACTTGTGCGTTTTTACGTGTGTTTGCTGGATCAAACCTAGCAAGTTGCTCAAAGCGTGCTAGCACTACTGTTTTCCAGGGATGTTGTAATTCAAATATAGGACAGCTCGTCAACATAAAAATAAGCAAACATTTCCATCGTTTCGCGTAAACTTTCCGCCTCATCAAGAGTTGTTATGCACCTCGTGAAGAAAGTCTTTTACTCGAAACTTTGAGATACTCTGCTATTTTTTTCAGGTTGACTACCAGGGATGCAGCGAAGGACTTTATCTTGTTGAATGGATACGGGGCTAAATCTTGAAAATAATTTTGAATATTTACATCCTCTGAAAGCCCGGAATTGAAATGGAAATTTTGCTTTTTTCGCTTGCCTCCACTTTCTATACACATTTGCGAAGTTTTTGTGCTCGTACATCTTTGAAGTAAAGTCAGAAAGAGAACTGAATCTGTGTTTGAAAACGGCAGTTATGAAAGTATTTAAAATTAAACCACTCTGGATAAATGTTAATTGTTAAATGAAGAAACTTTACTGTTAAAATTTTACTTGTTAAATGAAGAATCGCTGGCTATATCCCTGGCTGAACCAGTGGCGGTCACTTCACGAAATATCATCAGGGCAGGGGACAATTTTGGTTTGCCATCATATTGGCACACTTTTGTTGCTGCAAATTTCGTTTCTTTAAACTATTTTGCCTCAACTTTCAAGTACATTTACTGAATTTATACAGCTTTGTGACAGTTATTTGGCCACCATTCAAAGATCCGATTGCCCCCCCTCCCCCCTAGTGTCCACCACTGATCAGAGCAATCTTTAAAAGATGCTAGCCACAGTGCGCATGAGTATAATTTGAAGTTCTAATCATGTATATAGATTCTAATTACGAATAGATTGCTACATTGGTAACATTGCATCATCATTATTGTCATCATTATCAGCACTAAAGTCTTCATCATCAGCAATAGCATCATCCATTGGCTACAATGTGATAAATATTATTGATTGTTTAGTTCATGAGAAAGGTTCATCATAAACAACTTTCGATAACTTTCATTACTAATTATCATTGTTCCAGTATGTAGAAGCACAGAACAAAAGTAACTAAGGAAAAACTTTAGAATTATCTACATGATTGAGTGAATAACTCTTACACATAACTCTAAAGCTTAGTTACTTTTATTTTATTCTATGCTTCTATCAAATAAAACAATAGTAACTAGGCATGTAAGTCATTTAAAGTTGTGAATAGGCTAACAATGATATAAACAATAAAATAAAACACAAAACAATAGACACTATTAAAGACACTCCAAAAATTGTAAACATTTTCATTCTTTAAATTTCGATCTTTGTTTTGAAGAGGACTTAAATTAATTGTCGAAACGTAAAGAGTGAAAATGTTTACAATTTTCGGAGTGTCTATTGTTTTGTGTTTTATTAAAATACTGTATGGCAACCGCAATATAAACAATGTTAGCCAAATTTGTTTATTCTTAACATAAGAATTGTACTTACTTTGTAACGTGTTGCCTCTCTGGTTCCTTTACAACGACACATATAACTGCAGCCATCCTAAATTCGCAAAAAGGACAATTGATAAAATAGTACCTAATTTGCAATTCCAACTTTCCAACATTGTGGCACAATCTTTCAATGACTACAGCTTAGTTGGTGTGATACCTGCGAATGGTCAACAAACTAAATATACAGTAGTACTTACAGCCTGCAGAGTACCAAACTCCCTCCACATGAGATAGTTAGGTATTTGTTCCATGCCTTTGGCTCCCACAATGAATCTTTGATAAAGCAAACCCAACACCAGATACAGAACACCAATAATCACAATACTACAAAACAATTTTCTGTTGTAACAAGATCACAAATAGACCCTTCTGAAAAGTACTTCTGCTTTGGCTATACAGCCTCGTTTTCGAGATATTGGCCACAGACTAGTCCTTTACCTTGCTACCAATGACTTATATAAAGGTCTTTAATATTATCTAATATAACTGTATGAATGTATGATTTCGTAAATGTGTCCATCTGTGACAAGATAAAGGACTCTAAACCCACAAGAATGTCGCGAGAAGAAGGCTCTATAGCCAAGGCTAAGTACTACCCAAAAGGGTGTACTATTACAATGATTACAGCACAAACAATGTTTTGCAAAATTGCAATGAAATTTTCGATTATTGTAAAGTGGAAATACTGACAAAATGGCGACCATTTCGTTGCGGATTTTGTAAATATTTCAAAACAATTTTCACCATATTTTTCTTTATATACACTCTTTTAGCACAAAAATAAAATACAGAACAGAAATTGTCGAGTTTGCAAAATAAATAAAACAAGTTTTCAGGAATTGTAAGGCAGCAGCCAGGTGGGCATGTTACAGTGATTTGTATGCAACTTGATTCACATTTTTCAATTTTGCAATGAATTTTGCTTCATAAAACCTAAGAAATGCTTTGCAAATTGCAAAGTATGAGCTTCTAATTTGTACTCTGGTAATATTCCTCGAGGAAGTAGCAAACAATATTTTCAAAAAGGCTTTCATTAAAAAAGGCTTCCATTATCACATTATTGAATTATGTAATATTTTATGTTTGATCTCTGATTCTGCTAAAACAATTACAATCGGAGATCACTCGCTCTGATTTCTATGGGGTGATAGAAATCATAGAAATCTCGAACCCGTAGTCCAATTGTTAATTAGACAGAGTATAATGACACAGTGCAGCATAATACAGTAAAAGATGCGTAGACATTTTTCAACATACATAATAATGAAGACAGATCCTGGACTAATCTTTGTCTTCTCTACAGGACAAACGCCGTCATGTTTCATTTCAAACAAATAATAACAAAACTGTGGATCCACTTTAGTTGGTGTATCAGGTCTGTACTCTTCTAATATTCTCGGTTGCCGCTTTTCCTGTTTTAAAACAAAATAAAACAAAGATGAATAAACTGGTATTGATACAGTGGTGTAATGTACATCTGCATGTCTTGCCCACTGCAAATAAAATATTTAATGGATTTGTTTTAAAAAACCCAGTATGTTTAATGATGTAGGTTAAATTAACAAACGCGCCGTATCTTTGGAAAGATTTTGAAAAAATAGCAAAGATACACAACAATTAATGACATCTCATTATGTATGTAATTTAGTAGATGACGTCACACGGTTACAAACAAAATGAAATATCTCAAGAACTAAGAATGGGAACAAATATCTTGAAAACAAGTTACTATACAGTTTTAAGAGCATTTTCGTTTAAAGGACATTGGCAATAAAAATTTTTATTGCTTTATCTGAAAGAGCATGAAAAAATAAGCCGATTGGCCGTTTAATGCTCTATTCTATCTCATCTAGTTCCGAAGTTATACGCAAAAATGTGCAAAATATAAATTGCTGATTCAGCACAACGTGTGACGTCATTGGTTGGGTAAGTATGTTTATTGAATAGTAAACTGAAGCATAGCTCAGTTATTATTGGCTCAAATCAAATGAAATTTTGCATACAGATAGTACAAGATGAGACGCATGGGAAAATACTTCTAATTTTGTTGTCAAGGCAACACAGTCGTTCCCAGGCCCCTTAAACTGATTTTGAATAACTAGTTGCATTTATCTATGTGTGTGTCATTTTCGAATTATTATCATGCAAGTAAACTTTTGGCATGCCAAGGTATGGTACACATACTTCTGATATTATTTTATTCTTATAAGTACCATGAATAAAGCTGTTTTATAAAATTGGCGCAAGGGGCCTGGAAACGACATTGTTACCTTGGCAACACAATTAGGAGTGTTTTTCAATGCGTCTCATCATGTACAATCAGTATGCAAAATTTCAGTTGATTTGGGCCCATAATAACTGAGATATGCTTTAGTATTCATTAAACATACTTACCCAACCAATGACGTCACACGTTGTGCTGAATCAGCAACTTATATTTTGCACATTTTTGCGTATAACTTCGGAACTAGATGAGATAGAATAGAGCATTAATCGGCCAATCGGCTTATTTTTTCATGCTCTTTCAGATGAAGCAATAAATTTTTTTGTTGCCAATGTCCTTTAAGAAAATAAAAATTTTGACGAGAAAGCCACTTTAAGTGTAAGTATTTATTTACCGTAAAGAATCTTAGCTTTGATTTTCGAGTTGGTGGCACATGTTTATCTATGACTGTAGTTATGTATATTTTA